ATGCCCATGGAAACCTCTCCAACGCAATTGTCGGCGAGGACAAAAGTGTGTACGTGACGTAAGACGATGAATCTTATGGTGGCGAACAAAACAACAATTACATGTACAGCAATAACAAACAAACAGGGGAAACACAAATTGAAACAAACTTGTAAAGCAAACATAGCGGCAAAGCAGAAGAAAGGCAACAACCCCTCTGGTTGATTTCGCTGCGTGAGAGCGAAAAAAAAGTGTGTGAGCGAGTGAGTGAGCGTGCCAGACCGAAGATGACTAATCATTGTGTGTAAACAAATACCAAATAGGAAATGGGTATGCTGCTCCCACCACAAGGTGTAAGGGGCAAGCGTGAATGGATGTGGAAAGCATTGCTTGTGAAAGAGGGGCAATAGTGGGGGAGGCAAGGTGAACGGAAAAAAGTTGGTCACCAAAGTGAATTCGTTTGTACGCAGGAAGGACGTTTGTGGTTATCGTTGATTGAACAGCTAAGGGGATGCCTGATGGGCTACGCTTTCATGCGTCGATGCGTCATCGCAACAGAAGGTATGCGATTGATGAATGTGAAAAGGAAGTTGAAAACTCCAACTCGTGAAAGGGCGACTAAGAAGTGTTGCAGACAGAGGAAATGCTTAAGTGGGTACGTACATACATATGTATGGACACGTAGAAATATCAGACTGCACTCAGTCAGCAGCAGGAAAATGTTGTAAGGAAAAGGAGGGAAAACGCGCAACAGCCCCTAAAGTATAAAGCTGCAATAAAAATAAGATACCAGCAAAAGTTTTCAAAAAACTATCGCTCTATGTATGTATGTATATAAGTCAACAGCAGTGTGTGCGCCGTCTGCCGCCGTGATGAAGTAATACACGCGTAAGGACGTTTTGAGTCACTTTTTAGCAACTGCCAGCGCGCGTTTCTTGTAGCCACCTGCCGTCGTTTCGTGTTGCAGACACCAATCCAGCCGAACAGGCAAAACATACAGTCATTTTACTAACCTTTCGCAGCCATTTCGTCGCTTTGGGACGGATTGCTAGCCTGTATGTAGTATGTATGAATATGCAATGGCAAGTGCGCCTGATGCAGCCTGGAGGGTCGACCGGATGGCAAATTTACAAGTATATGTTCATATGTACATACATACATACAGCCACCAATGTAACTCTGTGCTTATGTTGGTGTCACTAGGAGCCATACTGTCTGTGGCGAATGGCATAAACCCGACTGAGTGCAGCGATGGCAACAATGCTTACGACAGGCGGCGGCTAACGCGATGCGCAGAGGCTCCCATTTTATTGGTTGCATGGTTGGATGGTCATTCAAATTGTAGACAGTAGCTTTTATTGTTGTTTGTTGTGGGAATGACAAAATGACAATAAACACATGAAACAATAACAATAACAATAAAAATAAAGAGCTGCTATAACTTTTGCTAGCTCAATGCAAATGTTGCTAATTAAATAAAATTGAAGGCTTCGTCGTTTTGACGAACTGCTGACGACTTTTGAATGTTGGGCGAAAAGGCCAGAGCGCTAAATGCAATGCAAAGGCAAGCGAAAATCGTGCACTGTGGAAGGTGGCGGAAGACGCATTCAGCCGTTGCACACTTAGTAAGCAACGGAAGAATATACATACATATGTACATATACGGCTATTGTAAAAATATATATTTTTTCCTCTTCCACTTGCGTGAAAGTAAGTAATTAAATAATAACTGTATGAACGTGTAACGGCTAAAAAGCAAAAATTTCCGCGAATCCGCTTTGTTGGAAAAATTAAAAAGAAAGAAAAGCTAGCAATTGACGTCAACTGTGGCCCAAGAACAACAAACAATATGGGTATTTAAATTTAGCTACAAAAAATAGCACATACGAAAAGAAAATACATGCGAGTCAGCAATATGGGAATATTGTCTTCTTTTTTTTTTTGTTTTAATCCCGCGTGTGTAGGCACGCGGGGGCTACACTAGACAAGCGGACAAGGCTTCGCAAGTGTCAACGACATGTGGAAATTGATAAATTTGCTTAAAGCTGTGGAAAATTATTTTTTAAATAAAAGCATTAAAAAGTATGTTAAACTTAATGAATTGGATTTACACGATTTGTGTATAGCAAGAAGGATCAGAGTCGCTCAAGAGCATGTATGAATAATCATGCCTCTACATTTGTGGTTGCATATAAACTCATATGTATGTATGTACGACGATTTACTAAAGCAGCAGACGAGCGAGCTACATTTTAAAAATTGAATTTTTTTACGATATATATATATATTTTTTTTTTTTTGATTATGATGAAATAATATTTTTCTAGGTTCTTAAGTGACCATATGAAAGAGTTATTTTATAATTAGGTACAACTTTTTTACAAAATTTGAAATTTTTGCTGCCTTTCATACAAATTTATAACAAATATGTATCTAAAACTTTTGTTAACATTTTTACTTACTTTAGCAACCTAGAGTTTTCATATGCTTTGAATCAGTATATGAAATCAATTTCATGTTATCAATTAAAAACCTTTAAACTTGCGTAATTTTATTATTAAAAATTTTGAATGTTTAAATTGTTAATTAAAATTAAATTTTAACTAACATACATATGTACGTATATACATTAACCTTTTACATTTCTTTTTATGTAACAAAACTTTTTTAAGTCAAACGAATTGTTTAAATAAAAAATAAAATATATATGTATGTATATGTATACCTGACTGAATAATGCACTTATTTTAAGTTTTATTTTCAACAAAAATAATTTTGTAAGTTTGTTTATTCAACTAACAAAATTAATTTAAGTTTGTTAAAAAAAGTTTTAGTTTAATTTCTTTCATTTACAAATAAAAACATAAATTTTGAATTTAAAAGTATGTATGTATGTATGTACATTGTACACACATATGTTTATCTAGTTTTTATTGCAATTAAAAAATTTCATTAAACTCTATTAAAAAGATTTTTTCAATGAAATTATTGACCCCTTTACGCGAAATTATCGTATGTACAATTTTTTTCGAACGATTATTGGTGTCATACGCCTAACGCCATTACCATTACCGTAAGTATTTATTGAGCTATGGATTTCGCTATAACCAAAAGCAGCTCTGAGATTTTAGTTTTTTTCCTCGGTGCTAGATATATTTTGGACGCAAGGTGATATACATAAGTACTATACATACATTATTGAGCGTCAGAGAGAGCTTTCACTAGGTATGCGTCCAAATCAGTGATGCTCAGAGAGAGCTTTTACTCTGTGCGCGTTCATATAAAATCTACAGAGCTTTTGAAAGCTTCTCCCACAGGATATGATTTGCTTCTGGCTGATACAGCTATTTATGCAGATGTAGGCACAATTATGCAGAGAAAATCAATGATATTGTCACAAACTTTGCGCACCTGGACTGAACCTGGACTGGAGGCAAACCAGTCCGCGATTTGTATTCACTCATTTTGTTTTTTTTTTATATCATTACTAATTACTCACCAATAAAATCGTAGGCTTCCTGAAAATATTGTTTTATATTTTGATGTGGTGTATCACTGGCAGGTATTTGTTTATATTTAAGTCCCGGCGTTGGTCCTGAGCTGGGTGCTTGGCAGGTAACATTCAAAACAGCATTGGCGCCGACACTACTCGGATCGCTGGCATCTTTGCCATTGCCTAATAGTAAATGGGGAAAAACTGGTGACGCGGGATGAGTTTCTATATCTGTAAAGAAAGAAAAAAAAATTATGCAATAAGTGCGTAAATGTTCTCAAATACAGGAGAGAGTCACAACTCAAAGTAGTAATACATAAAAATATTTATTTAGTAAATATGACTAATGCTCGATATATATTTGAATTCCAAAAAGGATAACTAATGAATATATAATTATAGTTAATTAATATATTTTCGAATGTACATATTTAGAAAGTATGCAAAGTATCGGCTTTCTCCTGGAAATTTAATTTATAATCTTACAACTCGAAAGCTAGAAATTTGGATTTACATGGCTTTTCACCGTATCATTTTGTTGCGGGTTATAAAACCGGTTCACATGCTACCAAGAAATACTTTATTTTATTGAAGAACTGTTTAAAAAAATAACTGGACTGTAACAAAATTTGTGTTTTTTTAATGGAGATACTGCGAAACAAAATTTTTTCGCAGAAATATAGTTTTTTTTTTGTTCGAAAAAGATACGAGCGTTAAGTATAACTGATGAATATAGAGAATATAAAATTACTTATAATGTATTAAAATACCCATATGATAAATCTCTGAAAACTTCTTAATTGTATATAACAGCAAAAGGAAATTACTGCGACGCAATTGAGTAACTCATTCAATAAAAATTTATTCGAAAAAAAAAATTAATTATCTGTAAAAAATAGCTTGTTGATGAATGATCTTATTACTGAAAACTATGCAAAGAGGTATTATTCATTTGTACACACATACATACATATCATGAACTACGTTATATAAAAATAAGCGAGCGAATGTGGTTTACGCCGCACGCGCCCAATTTAGCGCTGCTGAACTAATAAGACTTATTGATACAATTATTATGCGCTCATCCGTTCGTAATACTTAAACCGCTCCGCCCACGTACAAATGAATTTACAATCAAATTTACTTTGATCCAAATATACATATCAAGTACGTATGTATGTACATAAATAACACATCTATGGGTATGTTTGTTTGCCCTCAATTACATTTTTACGCTCTAAATATTTTTTATCGGACCTTAAGAGCTGAAATACAGCAACGATCAGCTGTGCTTATTCTTACTTTTATTTCTGTTTATTTGCAGCATACAAGCAGTATAGGAAAAAAAAAAAATACTTAATACGGGTACTTCATTTTTATAAATAAGTTTTCATCACTGCTGTAAATTATTGTATATGTCTAACGCTTCAGCTAGAAAACTGACCACATTCAAGCCCTCTGATGCCTTTTTGTTGATCGTATAAAACGTGCGTGTACATACATATGTACATACACACATAGTACTAAATATGTAGTATATTCAACCGCCAATGTTGTTCACTTTTATACGAGAAAAAAAGGAAATTTTTGTAAATTCAATTTAGCACAAATGTGTGCGATCGTTTGTCAAGATTTGTGAATATGTCGAGGTTTTTATTGCCTTTTTTTTCTTGTTATTGCTATTATTTCGTTAATGCATGTTTGCTGACGTCTCTTTCGCCCTCGAGTTGAGTTTTATGTGCAAGGAAAAAATATACATTTATGTATGTACATACATATGTAGAACTTTTCAGAAATTTCAGGAGTTGAATAGTGTGTCATCAACTGGCAAAAAATATATTTGCACAAGGTGAGATTTTTTGAGTTGTAAACAATTAAATAAATACAAAAAACAAATTTGTAAGTGCTCAGTACTGTTTTGTTAGGCCTCAGCCATAAAGGCCTTGAGATGACGAGTCATAGGCCATTTTTTATGGCTGTTGTATGTATTTATGTTAGTAAAATTTCGTCAGTGCTAACAAATCGGAGGCTGTCTATCACAGAGGCTGCCGTCCTATAGGCTATTTCCTTCACTGCGATATAGCTACATCGAAAGCCCAGCAGCGAAAGGCATTTACGAGCCTTGGAGCTCTGACAGAAACTTGCCACTTTGTACAAAACAAGTAGCCTATTTTATGACCAATGAAGGAGGTTGCGAGCAGGCCTGATTGCCTTATCTGCAATCCTTCTACATAGACACCCACGTCAACTCCTTTGTCCATCTTTAAACCCTCGGTATAGATGGCAATGACTAGGTACCACATTTCCTGTCGATAGTCCCAGTCGATAGTCAGTTGGAAATGGTATAAAAATCCTGAATCACAAGTCCCAGAGTGACATAATCACCGCCTTCAATTTACTAAAACTCAGCGAGTGTTGAAACGAACGAAATTAATGAGGTACATAAAACTAAACTCGCCGTTCATCGTGCTTTCACTTTCAAACACACACTTTTCGATAAGCTAGCAGATTTTTTCGGCTCCCCCCATTGCATTTTCTGGTGTTTTAGGTAGCGGCGTACGAATACTTGTATTAAAAAAATTACAGTAAAAGGATTGAAATATTCTACAAAGAATTTTTTTTACCGAAAAGATAAAACTTCAAATCTATGTACCTAAAAGAAAAAGTTGTGATTAGATGAAATGCCATTCACTTTGGATTGGACTACTACTTATGAATACCTACTCACGCTTGAGCAACGAAAATAGCTGTTCCACCTTGTTAGAAAAGAGTTAATCATCCCTGTTTTCAAGACGCGGCAATTCCACAAACCACCTGAGCAACGTAACGCAAGCTATCAGCAATAGCCTAACGGCGTTCAAAAATAATGATCCCCATACAAAAAATCGGTAAACGAGCAATTTTCAAAAATTTTGATTATTTTGTTTTTAATTTTATTTTTCAAGTGGAAAAGGCTGTTTGGAGATTTTTCGGTCGAAATTCTACATGGAGTTTTTTGTTCGAAACCTTCTAGCAAATGTACGTACGACTGCGCTAAACATTTTGGGGGCTTGTTTGGCTGCTGCCTCCGAACTAGAAAGCGGAAAAGAAAAAAGCGTAGAAAAGCAAAGTAAGTAATAACTATAGCAAAAGAGTCATATGCTTACCACAAACATATGTACATATATACATATGTATGTAAAACCGCAGCAACTGAAATCTGACGCGTATTTGCGTACAAACAATTTTACAAGAACGTGGCTGGCTTGTTGTAATTACTGTTGTTATAATATGCTTTATGTTTCTTCACATGTACACACTTATCTATGTATGTACATTTTGTGTGTTTTTTTTTTATTTCAAAGAAACGCAATAAATATTACACGCGGTTCGCATGAGTCATGCAAACCGATGCGATCGACCGCACTGTGAATAAAATAAGCGAAACAAAAGCTACTACAGTGCTGAAAATTACAACCACTATAAAAAAAAACAACTACCACACAGCCACAGCTACTACATGTGCGTGCGTTTTAATCGCTTCAATCGTAATACATACATATGTACATTTGTTCATACATCTCATTGAACTTCATACGTACACCTTTTTCAGTACTATTTTGCCCTGCCCCCACCCTTTTGGATTGCTGCAGCTAGCATTTTGTACATAAACTAAAGTTATATACACATATACATATATATAAATATACTGTATGAAAATTTGTTGTAAATGTTTATTAAGTGCTTTCAATTGAAGCAGCAGTTACATATTTACCACAAGCAACAACAAAACGCCACTCCACTTACATACATACAAAAATTAATAGCAAAAGCAGTCTACTTGCACGCAACAATTGAGGCTTAAATTTTAGGCTGATGAGTGCAGTGTTAGGCTTGGTGCACATTCGAGCGATACGATACGCGATACGATATGAAAGCGACATCGACATGCTGAGTATGCGGGAATTGGTAGAAAGCGATGAAAAATGTGCACACTTGCACGACAGCTACACTGCGCCGACATATGTATGTAATATCGCTTGCGTATCGGCCGAGCGGCACGGTTTGCTATCACAACACATATGGTATCGCATATCGTATCGCTCTAATCTGCACCGTGCCTTACTCGTATTCAGGAAGGCCTTATAGTAGTGACTAGCAGACGATGTGTACTCACTCATACGTCTATGTATGCCGTAAGGTGCAAATGTGGATGTCTGTCTGATTGTTTGTGTATACATATTTTTCGTACAGTTTGGGGAAATGCTGCTTATGGGTGGCGGCGTATCATCGTTTGGCGTAGTCTTCTTGATATTTGTATAGTTCTTCTGGGCCCGAAAAATTCATGTTGCTCACTTGTAATAAGTATGTAGTTTTTTTAAAAGTGTTGTGGATTCAAAGAAGCATAAACATGTACATATATTTCTGAGTATATAAATGTATACATATATATCTGGCTATGTATTTATGATGTATGTATGTATTTGCATGTTGTATACTCTAACAATTAGTTCTTATACTGTCTGTTATAAGTATGTACACAGTAGAAGCTTTTTTTTATTACTGTTGCTGTTGCTAATGCTTGAGTTTGCGCGCGTTTACCGCCTTAATCATTACTTGCCTCCAAGAAATACATAGTTCATTATTTCGCGCCTTCTCCTGTATTTAGTATTTATTTTATTTTTACGCGCTCTGGGCAACCAAACTACATACATATGTATGTATTTCCATAAGCCTTTATTTCGACTACAAACTGTAGTTGTTGCTTGTACATTCCCTGTACCTACAGCTAGCAAATTTTTCCATAAACTTTCTTCTTGGGTTCTGCAACAAATATTGATTTTCCTTGCAGTCATAGCGCTTCTAATTGGGTTATCAAGTATTTTCTTTATGCCTTGTTTCTTCTCTCCTTTTGTGGCATGATGGAATGTTGGCATTCATTTTTGTTTGTTTGTTTATGCCCCTTTTATGGCCAAGGATTACTATGGCGACCGTCAGCAATTTTGTTTTGACTGCTAAGTTTTGATTTCGTTTGTGTTGGCATGCGAGACTATAATTAAGTTGCTAAATGGTGAATATACATATATGTACATATGTAGATTACTGGTATATAGCAGAGGCTCATGAAGTTTGTAAGGTGGGAGGCAAGAAGAAGAAGGTTGTGGCAAAATGTGAAGGCATAAGGTTTCTTGACTTGCACAATGCACAATGAATCTAATTAACATTTTTAAGATTTTACATACATACATATGTATGTACATGAGCAAAAAAATGCATTACTAACATTGAAGAAAATGTTTGATACACCGGGTTATACATTTTCAATATGGAAAAGATTAAAAAAAATTACGCTCAATATTTAGGTTTCATTGTTTTTTGATTTGATAATAAAGCATGAATTTGTTATTATATACGACAAAATACATACAAATAACCTCCATGGGAGCGTTGGCAGGACATAATATTTTCGAAGTAATTTTTGATGACTTTTTGACACAGTTCGTGCAATAAATGGGCTATAACTTGACGTCTGTGGTCCTTGAATTGCTCAAAAGTTGTGGGGCTGTTCGCATAATCACGTTTTTTGCATAGCCTCACAATAAGAAATTCAAAGGCGTTGACTCACAGCATCTTGGTGACCAAGCTACATCGCCGAAAATCCGATTTTTTAGAATTTTGATCGGTAATACCAAAAATATGGTTCATTATGCTTTAAAAAAAAATCTGTGTGAAATTTGGAATTTTCTGGTCAATGACCTAGGCTCGCCCAAGTCCATGACAGCTCAATATGCCCAAAAAATAAAAATTAATAAATTAATTGATTATTTCATTTTTTTTTTTAATAATTTGCAATAATCTTTTAAGGTATTAGTTCTATATAATTTGGTATATGGATTTTTTTGGTACTTGAAATTTGATGGACTTGGGCGAGCCTTGGTTATTGACCAAAAATTTTCTCATTTCACACAGATATTTTTTAGAGCATAATGAAGCATGTTTTTGCTATTACCAATAAAAATTCTAAAAAAGCAGATTTACGGCCCACGCTAATGTACATAGTACATAAATAAATATTTATATTTTGCCCTGCTTATTTTTTGTATTTTTTTTTTTTGAAGCTACACAGCAATTCTTGGAAGTAAAACTTTAATTAAGAAAAACCAAGTGCGAGATACTAAAAAAATATCTTCAGAACATTTGGTTTTTTGCTTTTCTTTTTAATTTTTAGGTAATCCTGTCTAAATTTGAATGAACTCTTTACGATAATCTGCTTGAAATTCAGTGCAAAAGTCTGCTGTCAGTGCCTGAAGTCTGCTGGCAGATCTTCCAAAGTCTAGGATATCCCAAGCACCTTTCACTCCACCTGATTTGGTTTATAAGTACATCATTGTATTTATTTATTTTTTTTAACTTTTTTGCCATAAATTGTAATGAGGTCATGAATGAGACCTGCCACGTTACAGTATTCATGATCTTTTTGAGTCATAACTATATCTATATTAGTAATTATTGAAACATTTTCTGTCCTATTTGTGACTAATTTTCTTCTAAGTATAGCACGGTATTAGTAAGCTACGATGTTAACCTTCTGAAAGGTCTTTTCAGACCAACCCACGGTTTCGCTGATTCAGCGATAGATTGCAAATGTTTAGGGAATGTCGCTTTGGTGACTTTCGAGTATGCAAAAATAGTAATATATACGCACAAAAGCCAGCACATCCTAGTAATTAAGTGACTAATAACAGTCAATAATAACTATATGATCATTATACATACATATATATGCAAGTAAGAACGATGGGTGACACGTCACCAGCTGATCCTGCTGAGTAATGTAAGTAGAAGCTAGCAACAAGTATGTACATATGTATGTATGTCGCTTTAGATGATGCAGATTTACCACAATTAATTTCACAATAACTGAAATAAAGGAGTGTAAATGACACATGCAAGTTTATTAAGGGTAATAAATGTAGACGAAAAACTGACGCAAAAAAAATAATTTTAGTGGGTAAAGTTTAACTGATAATCGATTCAGTCAAGCAAGTGGCGCTAATACCATGAATAAAATTATGGGATATAGGTACCGAAAGTATATAAATTTAGGGCTGACATATGTATGTATTATAATATACGATACGTGAATGATTATATATTTACATAGGTATATATTTACATTAGACCATTCAAGCTTACAAGCAAACAAAAAAAATGTTCGCCGTACATTTAGGGGTGTAAGGCAACTTCGAAAATTTTTTTTCGCCAAACCATGCGTCGTCTTTTTAAATTTTTGCGCGACACCTATATATGTATGTAAGAGTACAAATATCATTTCGGCAATATTTTTTTTTATTCAAATAATTCCACTGAAATAATCGAAATACCACCTTAGCAACAGTTAAATGATTTTTAGTGCGTGTTAATTTACTGACATTAGGGCAGAACATTAGGTTGGTAAAAACTGAGATCTGCAGGGTAAGTTCTGGAACAGGGTATTTGAGGTCAATGAACATTGGAACGAAAAAAGTCTCTCCTCGACGCGAAAACATCGATATATCATACTTTGAGATCCGTCAAATGTCGGAGATATGACGAAAAATGTAATAAAAGGCCGTCGATTTTTTTTCTTGTATGGTCTAATGTGCAAACATACACATATATTGGAAAGTATAATCACCCACTAGGCGTATATTCTCTTGCGCCGAAACTGTGCAAAGCACTGTTATCGGATGAAATGTGGAAGTCTCTTTTGATTAAGTTCAATATGGAATGCCATTACAGCAACTGAAGGCAGAAAGCGGTAAAACTGATAAATAAATATATGTAAAGGTAGACAACTTAAACGACAGAAAAAAATAAGTAATTAAGTCTTTTAAATACTTAAATGTTATACATTTTTGCTTTCGAACTCTAATATGAAGACTTAAACTTATGTGTATGTATACATACATATAAATACACATATGTCTACACAAATACAACAATTATATTTTCATTTATTTATCTATTAAAAACATTCGCTTATCGGTCGTGTCACCGAGGGCATAAGTGACGCGCATTAGCAGCGTCAGCGTCAGCCCTAGTGTCAGCGCCAGCGCCAGCAATAAGAGATAATCGGTGCCCCATAGGCGAACCCGAATGAGTATTCCTCTATACCGCGTAGTCATTTATTTATTTGCCAATAATAATACAAAATAAGCGCCAAATGCTCGAAGCGGAGCTCATTAAAATTACATTTACATATGCACATTAGGGTGCCTCACTAAAATAAGTGGGAGTTTTTTCCACCGCGATTTCTACATTGATTGTATTTAGTGTAAGGCTTCGGCCAAAAGGTTTTGGAAAAATATTAAGATTTACGAGAGCTGGCCCGTTTTGAGAATATCTCCTAAAATCTCAATATTTTGATTGATTTGCTGATAAGATGTTTAAATATTTTTAAATAGACTTTTTAAAGCTGCATTGCTCAAGAAAAATTATAAGAAAAATTTTCATTATTTCTGTTGCTAGAAAAAGTACTTTGCTGTTAAGTTTTCTTGAAGCACTATTTATCAGCGCGTTTTGTTTTTTGATAGCTGCATACCGACTTAAGAAATTTTGATAGAAGGAGATTATCTACTTTTCGATTTTTAGTAAGTCATTTTTATGAATTTTTCGTTTTTCTTGAGAGCTGAAGACAGCATTTTAAACTCTGCTATCAGCTGAGATAACTTTTTAGAAAATAATATTTTTAGGAACTATTTTTTTTTTTTTTCAAATGAAAGACTCGATTCGCTACAGCTTACGTAAATCTTAATACTTTTTCCCAAATATTTTGGCGGAGATCTTGAAATATAACAAATTGTATGATGCCGATGGAGAAACAGCGCCGTTTTTTTTTTGTATGGATAGTGATGCACTCTCATGCACATACTTATGTACTACATATGCCTGTGTAAATTTGTACACATGTGTGCATTGTATTTACATACATATATCTCTAACTAATTCATCCAGTGACGGAAGTTTTTCGCTTTTGCGCAAAAACAAATTGTAAATTATTTTGTTATTTTCGCGCCGGTTTGTGAAGGTGAAAATGCAACAACAACAACTACAAAACCAAGTACATGAACGCTAAGGCACTTTAGTACTTATTAGCATGTGTACAGTAGATGATATGCATCATTGAGTTGTAATTATCAGAGCGCACTGACTACTTTCAGTAGAGTGGTTTTGTGGAGCATGCAGTACTACGTGGCGTATGAGCAATCTGGTAGAAGTGTTGAAGTGCAGGACGCAGCCAAATAGCATCGACTACTGTAGTTGCACTGTAATGTTTGTTGTGTAGGCATTTGGCGTGCATACAGCACGTGCTCAGCACTGTTA